TGCCAATTGTCTCCAACTGTCACGTTGGTTTTTCCTGAAAGTGTTATCAAAACGGGTTAATTGACATGCACACACTGTGAGTCACGGGGCAAAAGATTGTTTTGATATCTCGCAATAAAAATAGAAACATTGTTAACCTCTGAAAATACACCATACTTTGGAGAAAAGTCTATAGTCGATAAATCATTCCCTAAATCAATAGGGTCCATTGTGACAAAACTGTGAACCTATTAAGTTTCAATTTAAGTTCATATGGTTTCAAATAGTAATAAAAAAGTATCATGGCGCAAAATTCCTGAGGCAGATAAGTGACCATAGTTAACTACGAGGAGGTAAGATTAAATTAAGCCAGACGTCCGAAGAATCAGGATTATGTTGATTAGGAGCGCAGGAAATAATCAATTATAAAAATAAATTGAAGAAAAGATAGCTCTTTGAGTAGATTATAAATAAGCTTAGCATTATTGTTCAATATTCTAAGTCGCTCATGATATTATTGATGTGTGTAGTCCGAAACGATTAGTCCAAACGAGTCCAAGACGGCATAGATCAAGAAGCGAGAGAAATAGTCTGAGGAGTGAGAACAGTAAACATTACCCAGAACAAGCTTGAAGCACCCTACCTGAATTTACTGCAATAAATAGTCTGAGTATTATGAGGGTGACGAAGGAATGAACGGAAAAGTGAGTGGAGGCTAACACCACAGTGCTGTGCACAGTGAGACGGTTTAATGAAACGAGCTAGCTTCCCGAATAAAAAACAGCCTACACTGTCGAAGAAGCATAGGAAAAACTATCTCAAAGAACCGATTTATTCATACGAAGTACACAACACACACAGACACACACACACACACACACACACACACATACACACACACACACACACACACACACACACACAACCCACACGCGCGCGTGCGTGCACACGTACATACATAGTAGTAAACACTATTGGATAATGTGAATGAAGAGGAGGATATTTACCATTACAATTACAGCCTATAAAAGTCCACTAGGGACAATTTTGCTATAGTTTCTACGCTTAGCAGGCTTGGCAACCGCAGTTTTTTATTACTTTGAGATGTTATCGGAAAGATAGGCTGCCCATATTCTGTTTCAGTTTCCCTCAGTCGCCTCTTACGACACCCACGGGACGATATATGGTAGGGTGTGGATATTCTTACACCGACACTAAACGGTTATTACATACGGAGGATATTATTTTAATTGTTTTTTAAAAGCTTGATGTAATTTTCTGATATATTTAGTAAGATAATTTCTGTCCTTGTTTCGTAACTTATTTTGTATTTTTACCATGGAGTAGTTTTACATAAAAATTTATGTATGTAAAACTACTCCATGATACCGAAAAAATATTAAAACTTAAAATATGATGTCTCTTAAATATGAAATTCTACACTGTATCAATATCAATGATACAGGTGTACGCCCCCACTTCTGAAGCACTGGTAGAGGAAACAGATGAATTTGACGATCTAAAAGGCTCAAAAACTAGTAAACGAAAAAAATATTTTAATGGGAGACCTAAATGATAAAATAAGAAAAAGAAAATCCATTGAAAATATAACAATAGTCATACTGGAACGAGGAACGACAGAGGAAACAAGTTTTTACAATACGCATTATACAACAAATTCACACTAATTAACATAATATTTAAGAAAAACATTAAAATCTTATGGACTATACCAGACAAGCATCATAAAAATACTTTTTATATAGGTTAGGGTGAAAAACGAGCACACAGTCCACCTGATGGTAAGTAGTTGCTGTGACCCATAGACATCCACATCTATCCTCAATAAAGAATCAAAATGCAGATGCGTTGTCACCCGTGAGGACTAAGATGGAATGCCTCTTTTCCAGTAAAAAGGGTGTCCTGTTTTCTACACTCACCATACGAAACACAAAAGCATTAAATTGTTATTTTATGCTGGTATTATGTGAAAGCGTGGTCCTTCCCCGGTTGAGCCGATCCATTCGTGTTACAACTATACTACTTATATTTTGGTTTGATTATCTACACAAATTTTTTCACAAACAGAAATTTTAATTAATATTACATATCTAAGCGACCACAGACTATTGAGAGGCACGGTAGAACTGAAAAAACGCAAATTTCAGTGAAACTCAAGTTTATCTATTGTGGGACAAGATCCAGCAAGCACACCTCAAGACTTTATAGGAAAAAATGCGGCAAAATCAATGGGAAAGTAGCGAAGATATAGAGTCCTTCTATCCAAAGGTAGGGACAGCCATTAAACAAAGCCTAAGTGTCACTTTAATTGAAGTGCCACCTTAATGAAAATAACCAACGATATTCTAACCGTTGAAACCAAACAACTTAAAAAACCTATTGCACTGCAATCGTAACCATCTAAAAACAAAGAGGAGAAAAAAGAACTTACAGCGTTGTTTAAAATTACAAATAAAATGTTAAAAAACAACGCAAACTAAAAATGGAAGTTATCGAAAAGAAAATAACCACCACCAGAACCAGAAGAAGGCCTACCAGCAACTAAGTAGGTACTGGGAAAAAATTGATACCCACATTGAAAGTACAGAATGCAACAGGCAAATTACAAACGCGAAAAAACATATAAAAATTGCTCCGGACTTTTACGGGAATCTCTACCAGGATGAACGAAGCGAAGAAAATGAATACGTAAGATTCATTTACACATACACTCATCGCACCTTTCAACTGTCGAGTAATATTGGAAAAAATAGAAATATTTAAAAAAGAAAGAGCCCAAGTACTTAACATTCCTAATGAAGCCTTAAAGACTGGGAAGAAACGCTAATAGATCACACACAACGCTGTTTGGTAAAATACTAGATATACATGAAATCCCTAAGAACTGGGGAGAATCCCAAAACATTCTATCATATGAAAGGGAGATTGTCAGATATTAATAACTATCAACCTATCATCAGCCTGTTGCCAACAATGTACAAGTGATTTGACATGTGTCTAGAAAAATGTACACAAATTACCCGTATATGCTCAAAAACGTATAGACAAATAGTTTACTCATCCTCATATCGCGAAGTAACTCAAGGAGTACCCCAGGGAAGTATTCTTGGTCCATTGTTATTCCTTGTTTATATAAACGATTTACCAAATTATATAAATCAAGATATGGTACTATTTGCAGACGATAGCACAGTGATGTTTACAAGCACAAGCAAAAATCAAATGATATCTGATATAAATCAAACACTAGACATAATAATTCAATGGTTATCAAATAATAATTTATTAATGAATCTAAATAAAACAAAATCTAATGACATTCAGAAACGTGAAAAATAATTTAATAAATATTAATATTTGCTACAACGGACAAGAAATTAATGTAGTCGAAAATGCAAAATTTTTAGGCCTCAATCTCGATTCAAACTTAAAATGGAAATCTCAAGTGGAAGATATTTGTACTAAACTCAATCGGTTCTCTTATGCTCTATATAGACTTGGAACAATTGTGAATCAATCTGCCGTCATCACTGCGTACCACGGTTATGTAGAATCGGTGTTAAGGTATGGTGTCATCTTTTGGGGTAACTCTGTAGATAATGAAATGATATTTAGAGCCCAAAAGAGATGTGTAAGAGCCATTGTGAAGTTAATACAGACGGATAGTTGTAAACCATTTTTTATTAGTCTGAAACTGTTAACACTTCCGTGCCTTTATATATATGAGATAGCCGTTTTTGTTACTACGCATATTTCTTTATTTGAGTGCCTACACAGTAAACGTAATAATCAAAAAATATGTTTTCCATCAAACAACACAGTCCAATTTAACAACAGTGTATTTTGTATGGCCCCTAGAATTTATAACCATTTACCATTACACATTTTGAGATGCTCCAATATAGATAAGTTTAAAATACTATTGAAGCAATTTCTTCTTAATAAGGCATACTACAGTGTGAAAGAATATCTCGAAGACAACTATGAAATTCAATAATTGACTGTTACATGACTGAGAATAACTAAATTGACTTGACTTATACAATATTATCTAAATTGACTTATCGCTATTATTTTTGATTTTGTATCATGTTAATTCCAATTTTAACTAGAGTATGTTTAAGTAATTTAATATAAAAGTAATAAAATGTGATGGACATTGCATGCCAAATGGCGGAATATAGCTGTACTAAATGTTTGTTCTATAAGTGATAAACTATATAAACACCAACTGTATCAACCTATATTCGCAATAAACGATTTGAATTTGAAATTAAAAAAAAAAATAGCGTTAAGTATTTAGACGAACCCACCAGTAAAGCGAGCTGGATTTCAGTCGGGTTCCATCGACCACATCCACACATTAGATGAAATAGTAGAAAAACATCAAGAATTCAGCCACTCTACCTCGTATATATCGATTATGCGAAAGCATTTGATTTAATTTCGCACGAGAGCATATGGCAAGCACTTCTACTCCAAGTTATTCCAAATAGTTACATTAATATAATAGAAATCATTATAAGAACAGCACAAACTTGGTAATATGGGACAGATTTGGACCAAAAATTTACATCAGAAGAGGAATGAAACAAGGAGATCCATTGTCCCTAGAAATATTTATAGCGGTGCCCCATGACATTGTGAAATGAAAATAGATACGGAGCTCCTAAGTAATTTAAGATTTGCAGATGATATTTTCATTTTAGTAAAACATCAAAAGAGTTGGGAACGATGATTTTAAAACTAAAGAAACGCTAGCAAATAAATGGGTTTGCAATTGAATACGTCAAAAACGAAAGTTACTATAAACAGTATACAATGATCAATATTACTAAACGAAACGGCTTTATCTTGGGAAATAAATCTCATTCAAGAAATCACGACGCGAAGACGAACTAGAGCATTTAAACCTAAACAATGCGATGAAACACCTAACTATAAGGCAATGATATGGAAAGCCTGATAATATAATAAATGTATCGCTGTAGAAAATGATCAGTTGTGTATTGCCAGCTGAGGGCGCGGACGCGTGGGTGGCGCCATCTTGCAGATACTTCACGTAATCTATGACACAAAAAAGAGGTCTTGCCACCAAGGTTAGTTTTGGTTCCAGTAAAATATACATATTTGAATATCGATTTTGGATTGATCGATTTGAAGCATAATACATAAAACTTCGATATCATCTTGAGAAGAAATGAATACTTTTTAAAAATAAAAATAAATTTTCCTTACTTTTATTAATTTTGAAAATAACAAAATATGTTATAACTATTATAATATTATATTCTGCGTGAATTTTTTATGTCAACGGTCGTGCAAATGGTAAATGTCTAGTAACATCCCAAATTTCACTTAGAGCCAACTCAAAAGTAAGTTACTGGTAAGTACTTAGCCTTGCGGACCTTGAGGATTGAATGCCTCCATAGTCTGCAAGTAAAATTTATTATAATGTCTTTATATAAATTCATAAAAACTTTAAAATTGTTAGTCCGAGGTTTCAAGAAAATCCTTGTTCTTTTTGTAAAAAAAGTACAATATTTTACTTTTTAAATTGAATTCATTTATTTTAAAATAGTTAATTTACGTACACGTGCACTTAATGCTGCTGTGTTTCGTATGGTGAGTATAGAAAACCGGAGACCCTTTTTACTGGAAAAGAGGCATTCCATCTTAGTCCTCACGGGTGACAACGCATCTGCATATTGATTCGCAAGCGAGGATAGATGTAGATGTAGAGGTATATAGAGGGCCACAGCAACCACTTACCATCAGGTGGACTGTGTGCTCTTTTGTCACCCTATTTCTATTAAAAAAAATATTAACTCGTTATATTATATTTTATTGTAATAAATATTATAAATATTATGTTGCGTGAGTGACAACGTCGAAATTGATTTTCCTAAGCTAATATAAAATAAGTGATAATCCTACAAAAGTGTAACCTAATTATTATTTTTTTCTAAATAGTTACCCTTATACTAGTATTTTCGCCTGCATCGTGGAGGCAGTTTACATACATAAATTTCACAAGACCAAACATTCAGATCCGTATCAATTATTTGTAGGCCAGCAGCCCTCAGCATCGCTACTCATTGCTAAGCCACTGCGCCCCGGAACCGTTAAACAAAGCAAGGAATCGAGTCGTGTAACTAAAATTATTTTTATATAATTTACGAGAATATATACGTGGTAGAGCCATGCTGCAGCTATATTAGTAGTATAGTTGTAGCACGAATGGGTCGGCTCGACCGGGGAAGGACCGCGCTCTCACAGAACACCAACGTAAAAAGCAGCTTAACACTGCTGTTTCGTATGGTGAATGTAGAGAACCGGAGACCTTTTTTACTGGAAAAGAGATATTCCATCTTAGTCCTCACTGGTGACAACGCTTCTGCATTTTGATTCGCAAACGAGGATAGATGTAGATGTCTATGGGCCACAGCAACCACTTACCATCAGGTGGACTGTGTTTTTTTTTTTTTTTTTTTTATAAGATAAGGGTGACAAACGAGCACACAGTCCACCTGATGGTAAGTGGTTGCTGCGGCCCATAGACATCTACATTTATCCTCGTTTGCGAATCAAAATGCATATGCGTTGCCACCCGTGAGGACTAAGATGGAATGCCTCATTTCCAGTAAAAAGGGCCTCCGGCCACCTGCACTCACCAAGCGAAACACAAAGGTAAACCTCTACTTCACGCTGGTATTCTGTGAGGTCGTGGTACCACCCCGGTTCGAGCCGGCCCATCCGTGCGACAGCAAAAGTTGCCGCGTGGCTCTACCACTGTTAACTGTGTGCTCGTTTCTTACCCTATCCGATAAAAACATAAACTATACACTTTTCACGACAAGACTTTTTTTTCACTAAACGTACTAGCTTTATGAATTATGAATAATTTTATGAATATTGATCTCTAAAATACAGGGAAAGGGTCTATGTATAGGGTTATTTAGCAATAACCGCCTGCAGAGAAGGTTCATCATCATCATCATCATTACAGCCCTTCACAAGTCCACTGCTGAACATAGGCCTCCCCCAAAGAATGCCACAAAGCACGGTCCTGAGCCACCTGCATCCATCGACTTCCTGCAAATCTTACCAGGTCGTCACTCCATCTAGTGGGGGGACGCCCTACACTTCGCCTGCCGGTACGAGGCTGCCACTCGAGAACCTTTCTTCCCCATCGGTTGTCGGTTCTTCGAGCTATATGGCCGGCCCATTGCCACTTCAGCTTACTAATCCGTTGGGCTATGTCGGTCACTCTGGTTCTACTGCGGATATCCTCATTTCTGAGTTTATCACGCAGAGAAACTCCGAGCATAGCCCTCTCCATAGCTCGCTGAGCGACCTTGAGCTTCCTCATCCGGCCAGCAGTGAAGGACCACGTCTCAGTTCCGTATGTCATCACTGGCAACACGCACTGGGTGTACAGTCTCGTTTTCAAGTTTTGAGGTATACCTGACGAGAAGATGTGCCGTAATTTCCCGAACGCTGCCCAACCGAGTTGAATCCGTCGATTGACCTCTCGGTCGAAGTTGGACTTACCTAGTCGGACTATTTGTCCCAGGTAAACATACTCGTCAACAACTTCGAGCTTAGTGTTCCCAACAACTACCGGCATAGGTGTGACATGGACATTAAACATGATCTTTGTTTTGTCCATGTCCTTTGAGGTCATTGAGCATAGTGCTTAGGTCCTCCAGCGATTCTGCCATAAGGACTATATCGTCGGCAAATCGAAGGTGAGTGATGTACTCGCCATTGATGTTGATACCGTATCCTATCCAGTCCAGAAGCTTGAAAACATCTTCCAATGCAGCGGTGAAGAGTTTCGGGGATATGACGTCACCCTGTCTTACACCTCTCTGCAATTGGATAGGTTTCGTACTCTGGTTCTGTACTCGGATAGCCATCGTAGCCCTACTGTACAAGCACTTCAACACTTCGATATACCGACAGTCAACTTGGCATCGCTGAAGGGACTGCAGCACCGCCCAAATTTCGACGGAATCAAAGGCTTTCTCATAGTACACATACGCCAGACATAGTGGCAAATTGTACTCCTCGGACTTCTGTACAATTTGCCGAAGGGTATGTATGTGGTCTATGGTGCTAAAGCCTTTTCGGAATCCGGCTTGTTCGGGAGGCTGGAAGTCGTCAATTCTGCGCGCGAGACGATTCGTAATGACTCTCGAAAACAGCACGTAGACGCGGCTCAGAAGGGAAATCGGTCTGTAGTTCTTCAAGAGAGCGTTTTCGCCTTTCTTGAAGAACAAGGCCACCGCACTTCTGCTCCACGCCTCCGGTGTAATGCCACCATGGAGGACGGAATTAAAGAGCTTCTGAAGGACTTCAAGTACCGGTTTTCCACCCGCTTTCAGAAGCTCCGCTGTAATTCCATCCTGGCCTGAGGCCTTGCCGTTTTTAAGGTGCTGGAGAGCCATTCTAATCTCGCTCAGACTGACGTCCGGGATATCATCGGAATATTGTCGGATAAGACTCGCTCTTGGATCGTTACTCACACTTGCGTGTGGCTCCAACGATGACGTGTACAGCTGCCCATAGATCCTCTCAATCTCACTCAAAATCTCAGGTGCCCCGGAAACGATGCTGCCACATTCGGTCTTCAGCCTTGACAGTTGGCTCTTTCTGGCAGACAGATCTCTGGCAAAGACTTTGGAGCCTTGGTTCCGCTCGATCGCTTCTTCAATACGAGCTGTATTGAAGTTGCGTAAGTCCCGCCGCATGCATTTGGAGATCTGTCTGTTCAGTTGCCTGTATGCTGTCAAATCTGTTGAAGAATGTAGCTTCATCTCCCGTCTAACAGCCATGAGATTAAGAGTGTGATCGGAGAGTTTTTGTGTTCTTCTGCGGCGGGTCTTGCAGAACTTAGCTCCGACCGCATGGACAGTTTCCACGAGCTTGTCATTCAGTGAAGGTTCAGAATAAGTAATATAGGCAAATGGTGGAGAAAAATAAATTAAAAAAAATTCTCAAACATTTTGTCCTTTTCATCTTTTAAATTCAAAATGCGTGGTAATACATTATTTTTAATGCGAACGCACAAATTTGTATGGGTCGATCGGTAGGCAAAAACGTTGTTGCTCATAAATTACATTCAATTTGGGACAATTTCAAATAATAGTAGAGAATATTTACTCGTATTTGCAAAAACTGAATTAACGGTACATATATCATTATTTATATATTTGAACTTAAGTATAAAATTTGGCTACTTTTTAAAAAATAACCCTGTATAAAAATCAATTGCTCATCAATCCGTTGGTTTTTTTTTTTTTTTTTTTTTATAAGAGAGGGGGCAAACGAGCATGCGGCTCACCTGATGGTAAGTGACTACCGCCGCCCATGAACAACCGCAACACCAGGGGAATTGCAGATGCGTTGCCGGCCTTTTAAAAAGGAGTAGGCTCTTTTCTTGAAGGTCCCTAAGTCGTATCGGTCCGGAAAAATCCCTGGTGGTAAACTATTCCACAAGGAAGTTGTGCGAGGAAGAAAACATCTTCTAAATCGCACAGTGGTGGACCGCCAATCATCCAGATGGTGTGGATGGTATCGGGAGTTCTGCCGCGATGTGCGTTCGTGAAATTTGGCGGCTGGGATTAATCCGAACAATTCCTCAGAGCACTCCCCATGGTAGATGCGAAAGAAAATGCAAAGAGATGCAACATCTCTTCGCAGTGCCAATGAATCGAGCCGATCGGAAAGGGCTCGGTCGTCGACGATTCGAGCCGCTCTGCGCTGGATGCGGTCAAGTGGAAGGAGCTGGCACTGGGGAGCCCCTGCCCAGAGATGGGAACAGTAATCCATGTGAGGCCGAACCTGCGCCTTGTAAAGTTGCAGGCGGTGTGCCGGCATGAAATACTGTCCCGCTCTGCTGAGCACGCCAAGCTTTTTAGAGGCCAATTTGGCCTTCTCTTCCAAGTGACCACGAAACTGCACGTCACTCGATATGTCGACTCCGAGGATACCGATACTGGCTGAGGCAAGAAGGGGAGTGCCTTGAAACTGAGGAGATACGACAAAGGGGTTCTTTTTAGCGGTAAACGCGCAAACTTGTGTCTTCTGAGGA